CAGTCCCAGAAGGGCCAGGTTCCCTATCTTTTCCGCAGGAGCCTTCATGGCCCGTAGGCCTTACAGAGTGCTGCCAGAATGCACCAGGAGTGAGCCCCTGCACCGCCTCCCCAGCAAGCCAGTCTCGGCAGCCAATGGCCCCTAAATGGCAGACACTAGGGACACACCCCCTGATCCACTTGAGCACAGAAAACATTCATTAAGCATTTTAGAGGACAAGGGCACAAAGGAAAACACTGATTAGAAGCAGAAACAGTTTCCAAATGAGCCATCCAGAATCTGCTAGGAAGTCTGTGCTGACGTGTGGGCTGGCTCTCCTAGGGGGATCAGGCAAGGAGTGGGGGAGACTGCACCAGAGGATGAAGGGGGTGGCATTTAGGGCCCAGAAGAGAGGCCACAGGAGCAGGGCAGGGAGGCCCAGAGCCTCTGTGGTCACCATTAGAAAATTTTCAAGCAGGAGGGCTGACAGCAGCAGACATGGAGGCAGAGAGGCCATTTCTGTCTGCTTTTGGGCTTGGCAAGGCTCAGGGCCTGGGTGCTGCAGTGACAGTGACGTTCAGGCAGCAGGAGCAGAGGCAAAAAGGCACTGGGAGGCTGGTCCCAGCCCTGAGCTCTCGCTGACCAGTGGGGTGACCCTCGGCCTGGCCCGCCCTCTCTGGCCTCAGTGCCGTATCTGGGCGATGGCAGCTGAGCTCAGGAAATCTAAGGGCTCAGCTGCTCTGACACTCGGAGCCTCCAAGGGTGCTGGGGATGTGACCAGAAGAAAGTGTGTATGGCAGCCAGCAGAGTGACCTTCTCAAGGTCACAGGAAAGCCCCTCAAGGCAGGGCTGCTAGTGGAAGGCCTGGAGGCTCCAGCTCCAGCTGGAGAAGTGCCTGACCCAGGTCATTGGGGCCCACGGCAGCCTGGGGCTTTGGGACCCCACCATTGGCAGGAATGACCCACAATCCAGGCATCCTGAGCTGTTCAGGTGACTTCACATGGTGCCCACTGATCACGGCAATGACCTTATGCACCCTTGGGCTAAATGGGCTTCAAAAAAAACAAAACAAAACCTGTTGCCATCGAGTTGATTCCAACTCATAGAGACCCTGTAGGACAGAGTAGAACTGCCCTATAGGGTTTCCAAGGAGCAGCTGGTAGATTCGAATAGCCGTCCTTTTGGTTGGCAGCTAAGCTCTTAACCACTGCACCACCAGGGCTGCAGTACCCTCCATTCTAAGGGCGGGCTCCAGTTCCTCGCTTGTATCCTTGCTTGCATCCTAATAAAATATTTATTAGCAATGAAGAGAGAGGCAGAAAAGAAAAGAGAGAGAGAGAGCCCTCCCCTGAAAGCCAGAGGAATCTGAAACTCCAAGTACCAAGTCAACTCAGCATTTTCCTCCTCCTCCTCCTCCCTGGGTCTGGCTCTGACCCTCTGCTTGGTGCAGGGGAGGCCCAAGGAGCCCCATGCCCCAGGGCTGTGATGCTTGCCCGTCCCTATCCCAGGGCAGCAGGCCCGTCTGCAGCAGAAACCCTGCCCTGCCCCATCCCTGGTGGTGGTGGTGGGGCTCTGCGCCATGCAGGTGCTTGGGGGAGACAGAAGGCCAAAGTCCCAACCTCAGGGACTCATAGTCAGGTTGTACAGAAAGCTAAGCCTATGTGGGAAGAAAGGAGCCCTGGTAGTGCAATGGTTAAGCACCTGGCAGCTAACTGAAAGGTTCGTGGTGAGAACCCACCCAGTGGCTCATCGGGAGAAAGACCTGGTGATCTGCTCCCATAAAGATTAACCAAGAAAAAACCAAACCCATTGTTGTTGAGTTGATTCCAACTCATAGTGACCCTATAGGACAGAGCAGAACTGCCCTACAGAGTTTCCAAGGAGCAGCTGGTGAATTTGAACGGTTAACCTTTATGGTTAGCAGCCAGATGCTTAACCATTGTGCCACCAGGGCTCACAGCCTAGAAAACTCTATGGGGCAGTTTTCCTCTGTCACATGGGGTCGTTATAAGTCAGAATTGACTTGATGGCACCCAACAACATGTGGGAAGAAGTCCCTGCTGTGCCAAGTGGCCTTGGAGGAATGTTGGCTGGAGGGTTTTGGAGGATAGGTGTGGCCCGAGGCCACTAGGCTGAGCCTGCGAGGGGCAGAGCCAATAGAGGCTCCGCCTGCAGGAACGTGTCTCTCTCGCGCACGCTCTCTCTCTAGCAGCCCTCCTTCCCTCTTCCTGCAAGCTCCCTTCCTTTCTCCTTTCTCACAGGCTCCCCTGTTCCATCCTCCCACTGGCTCTGGACAGTAGGGGTGTGAGGACCATGGCCAGTTCACCTCCCTTTTCCCCAGTCCAGAGGGCCAGCTGGCTTCCTGGGAGCTGGGCAGCGTTTCGAAGCTGCCTGCCTCCTCGCTCTCCCTGGGCTGCCCAGCATCTTCGCTCCCACCCCATCCTTTTTATTGGTAATTGGTGTTAGAGACGAACTTGGGCCCATTTCCATCTGGGCCAGCGTCTCTCAACTTCTTTCCTATTTAATATCGAGAAATGAAACCTGGCCACGCCGTCATTATCCTGATGTTGTAATTAGCACCAAAACAAATTGCCCCAAGTGGTGCCGGCAGCTGCCTTCATTCTCTGCTCCAAGCAGAACGAGCATCGTGCTAATTGCCTTGGCCGTAGCTCCTTAACCTCCTATTGCCCAGCAGATGGGGGGCAGCAGGGGCCCCCACACCTATATGCATTCCTTCTTTGTTACCTGATCACGGAAACAAGAGTGATGATACTTGAGGATGCAGAGGAGGTGGGGGTGGGGATGAGGGTGGGGGTGGAGAGTTCCTCGGGGACAAGGGACAGAAAATAGAGGCCCCAAGTCAGTCATGGAGACACAAGACCCTGTGATACGAGCCTTTAGGGAGACTCTGGCCTCCTCACCACCTGGAAGGTAAAATACTCAAATGCACGTGAATCACCCCAGGTATGAGTTCAGCATGCGGGGGCAGGAAATTGAAGCACAAGGGAGGGAAGGCCTGGGCAGAGGATTAGGACTCCCCTACTTCTTGCCTGGCCTGGAAACTAGGCAGGAGCAGCTGGATCTGGGGCACCTGGCTCAAGGAGCAGAGTGCGTGGAATGCAGGCTGGAAAGTGATGAGCTCGGACCTCATGGCTGCCCAATGGTGTCTGTATTCTAGGAAAGTAAATTTAGTGGAATTAAAAAGCCATAAGAGCGTAATAGTATGAGGGGAGGCAGGCATGGGTGTGGGAGAGCAGGCCTGGAGGAGAGGAAGTATCCAGAAAATGCAGACAGCCAAGGCTGTGGCAGAGGGGCAAGCTGGCAGGCAGCCAGCTTCCAGGGGTGCCGCTCCAACAGGCAACAACAGTGTGGCCCGGGTGGAGAGAGAGCGTGGGAAAGAGGCATTCTGATGCGTCTGCAGGGTGGTGGGCAGGAAAAGTGCCAGAACCTCACCCAGGGGTTGGGAGTACCAGAAAAGAGTTTACAAGGGCTACAGGCTGCTCAGGATGAAATGTGGTTCTCTGGCAGCCAGTGTTTGACCCTGAGGATGAAGGGACGTGCTCTGACACCACCAGAGCTCTGCTCTTAACATGGAACCCTCTCCATGCCTGTAGCCCGGGTGCAAAGAAACCCTTCAACGAGTCGCGGGATAGCTTTGAGTCCATTCTGATTACCAAAACACCAACAGTACCATCCATGACCACACTGAAGCTCCCCTTCATCAGGAAGCAGCCCTGAGCAATTAGAACACCAGGTGCTGTCACATCAACCTCCAAGGGAGACAGAGGCAGGGGACTGACCACAGGGCAACTGTGTCTGCAGATCAGCCCGCTTCGGACCGGCGCAGGTGGAACCACAGATAACGGTTTCTGGGAACAGAGGGAGAACGGGACAGTTGGAGGATGGGGCTGGTGGAGCCCTGGACGGAGGACATGTTGAGGCTCTGGGTCCTGTGAACACCATTCAGGCTTCCCTGGGTGGTGGGTGGGTCCCTGGCATTTGTGGCTCTCTCCTCTCTGAACTCAAGCCATGCCGGTGTGGGGCTTGCTCTCCCTAGCTTCCGAGGCCCCTCCCAACTGCGTACCCCAAGTTAGGGAGATCCCAGACCACTGAGGCCCAGGGGTTTGCTTACTTGAACAACAATGGGGCCCACAGTGGGAAAGGCCAGAGGGAGTGATTCCTGGGTAAAGGAAGAACTTGGGGCGGTGGTGCTGCGCCCCTCGGTACAGGCTCCACAAAGAGTAGCTGGACATCAGACGAAGCTTTGAAAAGGACACCGATCCTGCCTGGCTGCATCAATCTCTCAGACGTTCCCACTCTCACAGGGCCCCCCAGCAGCAGCATCTTCAGCTTGAGACACCAAGCAAGCCAGCTGGACAGACCACCCCTAACTAGCAAGAGGTTAGGCGGGCCTCCACACTGACCACACCTGGCTCAGCACACCTGGGCACAAACCCCATGCACGGCCAGTGATCTGGTAGACAGGTGGCCCTTACAAAGAAGGGCAACTGGGCGGCTCCCACCCACCATTTCCTCCAGCTTGTTCCATGGCAGACATCACAAATCAATTACGGAGCTACTTCCCACTGAGCAGAGGCTCCTTCTCTCCCAACAACTCTGCCAATTCATCAATCTGACTGCAACAGGCATGCCTCCGGAAGCCTATTTTCCACAGTACCTTATGACTAACCCATAGCAAACAGGCATTTCACAGGTGTGGGTGGGGTGCTCAGCCTTCTATCTTGGTCTCACCAAAAGCAAATGTGGGCATCTTGGATGCTTGAAGCATCTAGTGGGTGAAGACCATCCCACCACCAAGCTTGTCCCCTTCCTGGCACCTGACAACACCAGGCCAGCCACAACGCTGGCCCCGGCTCCCCACGGACTCTCTGTAGGCAAGCTCACCAAGGCGTGTCTGCCTGAAGTCGCACCACACGCATGACCCCACGCCCACTCAGCGCCCTCCACAGACCCTTCCCCAGCACCAGTGACGGAAGAAGAATCCAATCCCAGCCACCTACCTGAAGGAGCCAGTAGCACCTCCGGTGGAAGGTGGGGATGATGGAGGAATGGACATAGCAGCCGTACAAGCACTAGGGAGAGAGGAAAAACGAGAATTCAGTTGGAAAGAGCGAAGGAAGGAAGGAAGACGACGGCGCAACAGAGAAGGAGCAAGAAAGGGCCACAGACACCAGCCACCAGGCCCAGGGTGGCCCAGGGGTGCCCCTGCGTCTGGCTCCAGAACCAAGACTAAGGCTTTGGGGCAGGATCTAAGAAGCACTATTGGGAGACACCAGTGGGCACACACGGATTACATTTGTTGCCTTTATACTACCTGAGAAATCAGGGAAAGCCAAGGACCAGGAAAACGCACATCTGTATACATTTTGCCTATAATTTTAGGGGTTTGAAGTTACTCTGAAGTTCCTTCATGGACTCTAGGTTAAGACTCTGTGGGGTACAGGAGAGGACTGTAAGGTTATGTTATCAATTAAAACACACTTAAGACCTTCCCTGGCCAAGGAGCACCCCAGGCAAGGCTACCTTGGTCTGATATGACCTCAAATCCCGCTGGGGATGGGGGTAGCAGCATGTCTTAGGATTTACCACCACCGTGTGAGAGACACCTGTTGCATGTGCCCACCTTTTGTTTTTAATGACAGTTTATTGGTATACTTGCTTATTCATAAACCAAAAACCGAACTTGTTGCTGGTTCCGACTCATAGCAACACAATAGGACAGAGTAGAACTGTCCCATAGGGTTTCCAAGGAACAGCTGGTGGATTTGAACTGCCAACCTTTTGTTTAGCAGCCGAGCTCTTAACCACTTCTCCACCAGGGCTTATTCATAGATGAGTTTATTTATTTTTTAGTATAAACCTGCATCTTTTGCAGATGGGTTTGATTTGGAAAACAGCCAGAAGTCAGACAAAGCCAGTTGGAGAGTAAGGTAGAATTCAAGTTTAGGAATGGTGTTTAGGGTGGACTGTGAGAAGGGATAGTCGTTAGGTGGCCCGTCATCAAGGGCCAGGCTGGTGGGAACAAGGAGTGGGTGCGGCAGGGCCAGCGTGTGTGTGAGGCACGTGTGTGTGGCTCAGCTTCTGGGGTGCCGGTGGCCTGTGCCCAGAGCACTGTGGGGGCAGCTTCCCGGCAATAATGGAGAAAAGGGGCTTCATGAGAAGAGCCATCAGGTCCCTCTCACAATGGAACTCAGTCTGAGGAGAAGGCAGGGACCCACCCTTAGGTGGATCATCAATTTGGAGAGGAAAGTCTCAAGGCAGCAGATCACCAGAGCCTAGATCAAAGCTAGAGTCAAAGTCTTTTCTTTTGTTGCTTCCAATTCCAAATTGGAATGATCTCCCTTCCATCTCCTTTGGAGTTCCCCTGGCTTCCTCAAGCACATTCTAGAAAAGGTGGGATAGAAAGAGAAGGCAGGTCCAGCAAAGCCTTACATTAAGAAGAGTGGGAACAGATTTTCCCAGTCACCTCTCATTCCTTATTTTAATCTCACTGAGGCCCTCTCCCCCCAGCTCTCCAGAGAGAAATGGCCAGCAGTTCTGTATCTAAAGGTTTCATTGATATCGTTTATACCCCTGCAAAAAGACCAAGTGCTGTTTGGTTAGACTAGGATCCACTTGAGCCCTGCCTGTCTGATTAGCAGGGTTGAAAGAGAAATCATTTCAGACTATGGGATTCTGGCTGCAAGAAAATCAGACTTCCAATATGTTAAAACTTTTACAGATTGCTGTCAGCTGGGACTTAACGCCCTCTACAAACCGAACAAACCAAGAGGAAATTAATTTAAACAATTCCCTTGCAATTCTTGCCCAAGAAATGTATTTATTATTAAGAAGGCAATATTCTTTCCTGACTTTGCTGCTTTCTGATAACTCACTCTTCCTTGCCAAATGAGACTCATATTTGGAAATTTTCTTTAAATGTTTGGTTGCGGCAAATGAGCAACCCATCTGCAACTTTAATCAGCTCTTTTGGAATTAGCATGTTCTCATTGACAATTTCATTACTTTTACTCATACAATGAGCCAAATATAAACCAAAAAACAAAAAACAAAAACAAACCCATTGCCTTCGGGTGGATTCTGACTCATACCAGCCCTAAAGGATAAAGTAGAATTGCCCCATAGAGTTTCCAAGGAGCAGCTGATGGATTCGAGCTGCTGACCTTTCGGTTAGCAGCCGAGCTCTTAACCACAGCGCCACCAGTGCTCCCGAGCCAAATGTAAAACCAAACCAAAACCCAAACCCGTTGCCGTCGACTCAATTCCAACTCATACCGACCTTGTAGGACAGAGTAGAACTGCCCCATAGGGTTTTCAAGGGGCTCCTGATGGATTCAAACTGCCGACCTTTTGGTTAGCGCCGTAGCTCTTAACCACTAAGCCACCAGGGCTTCCGAGACAAATATAGGGAGACATAAATTATGGTGAGAATGTCCTCAAGTCCCTTTGAAATAAAAGACTTTGCATCTGCTCTTTCTCAGTGTTTATTAAACCGCTTTAGGGTTTGCAATGACTTTCCCACTTCACCTGCCTCTTTCTCTTTCCGAGGCTTTTTCTTGGACATGAAAAGAACACGGTTGATTTTCAACATCATTTCCCCCTTGATTCACTGCCTGTCTGCCTGGCTTGGGCTTCAGCATCATTGAACCCCACCTTCAGGAACCACTGACAATTCACCAAACACCTACTCTGTGTCCATCGTGTGCAAGTTCAAAAGGAGCAAGCAAGGTGCCTGCTCTCCCCTGAACCATCCCAACCTCTCTCTCACTGCAACTTGCCTACCCAGAATGGCGCAGAACCAGCCGATAAGCAAAATAAAGTTGCAAAGAAAAATTGCCCTTCTATATCAAGGCTCATGCATTTTAATCAGAGGAACCCTCAGGGCCTTGCTCAGAACGTAGCTACTCTATTTTTAGATGTTACTCGAACCACTGTGGTGATCTGCTGTCTCTGGTCTCGTCAGATGACAAGTACAATCTTAGGAAGAGGAGGAGAGAACGGACTCTCGGCTCAAGGCAGATCCACGATAAGAGCAAACAGTGCCAAATGCATCAAACCTAAACCCATTGCCATCGAATCCATTCCGACTCATGGCGACACCGTGTTTACAGAGTAGAACTGTGCTGCATAGGGTTTTCTTGGCTGCAACTTTTATGGAAGCAGATCACCAGGCCTTTCTTCCACAGCACCCCTGGGTGGTTCGAACTGCTGACCTTTTAGATTGGTAGTTGAGCACAAACCATTTTTGCCACCCAAGGACCTTTCAAATGCATCAAATGGGGAGAGAAAAAAGCCACTCAAAGGGTCTCAAGAACTCAGAAAGCCCAGGGGCATTTGACTCCTTCCTGTATTGCTTGCTCCTCACAACAATTCATTTACGGATCTGTCTTCCCTGGGCTGGGAGATCCTGAGGGTAGGGAAACTTGGATGTTTGGAATGAAGATGGCCAACAGTTCTCCCTCTCCAGCAGCCCCAGGACACAGTTCTTTTGAGCCTGGTCCAGGCACGGACCTGGTGACAATACATGGGGCAGCCTGAAGGCTAAGGACTACAATACATATTCAGTGCGTACGTTCTTGACACATGACTCAGCATTTAGTGCTTGAAGGGTTAAGCTTCAGTCTCAAGGAAACAGACTTGCATTCAGGTAGACTGTCACTGTGGGGCAACAGGTTTATGGTAATCTGCTTTGCATGAGCTGGAGCCACCAAGAAGGATGGAATCCTGCTTGGGGTGGGAAACCTGGCTTGGAGGTCAGTTCTGCCTCTCACCAGCTTGGAAGCTCCTTGTTCTTCCAGGCTGTAAAATGGGCACCGTCTCCATGCTTCCTCACAGGAAGGTTGTCAGGGTTTCGAGATGACCTATGCCCTTGGCTCTAGTGCATCTTCAGTAGCGTCAGTTATTGTTGCTGGAGCACCCCCCTGGCCAGATGGTGGGGTGTCACTGCCGAGGCCATGACGTCTCAGTGCAGGCTTCAAGGTGAGCAGGGCTCGGCCAAGGGGAGACTGTCTCCAGCGGCAGGAGGGGGGAAGGTGAGCCGGTGAGTAGGCTGGGCTTGAACTGTAAAGGCCTTGGATGGATTGGAGTATGGCATGCAAAGGGGAGCATGGATAAGGCAGAGAGATCACAGAAGGCTACAAGGGCCACAGTGAGGAGCCTGGCTCTATCCTGGGCCGGCAGGGGACAAAGGAATGGTATGGCTGCCTTTGAGTTTTGGGAAGCTCACTCTGGCAGCCTTGTGGCCAAGGGACTAGAGGAGAGTAAGGCTGGGGCCACAAAGATCACAACAGTTGTGAGGATGGTGCAGGATCGAGCAGGGTTTCGTTCTGTTGTACATAGGGTCACTGTGAGTCAGAACTGACTCGATGGCACCTAACAACAACACGAGTCCAGGGGACAATCAGGGGGTCCAGTGATGGTAGGGGCAGTGAGGATGGTGAGAAATGGACACGTTTGCCAGCTCTAAGGATGATGCCCAGTTTTCTGGTGGTCCCATTCGCTAGGATAGGAAACCCTGGGGGTGTAGTAGGCTGGAGGGAGGAGAGGATGCTGCCAGATGCCTACTTGGTGACTTTGAGGAGCTTGTAAGAGATCCGAGTGGAGATGAGCAGGATGCAGAGTGCAGAGGTCTTGTCCTCGGTCTGGGCTGGAAATGGCCATCTCAGCATCTTCATGGCAGGGGAGTGTTGGAGGCCACAGCGGAGGTGAGACAGCCCAGGCTGAGTGCGCTCAGGCTGCTTCCTGTAACGCAGCTTTTTCAGGGGGACGTGGGCAGCCTATGTGTGAACTGGCCAAGTCCCAGCAGCCGGCCTGCTCAGTGCTCCCCTGCCCCTCCCCTTCCATTCACTCCATACCCCGAGCCCCCGACATGGGCTGCCCTGATCCCAGCGCTGTCTCCATCTGCCTTTGTCTCCATCCTCCCTTTGCAGTCTCTCTGCCAGTTTCCAGTCTGTATGACAATGTCATTACCAAGCCAATTGGGGATTAATTGCACAATATTCCACGAGGCAGTGTATCAAATCCATTCCCTTTACCCACTAATCAAAAAAGCAATCAAGTTTGTCTGTAGTGA